AGTACAAAGGAAATTTTTCAAAGTATTGCTTTCCTCATTTTCATAACTAAGAGCAGCGCTTTATGTATTAACAAATGGAGTCATTAACTTAAATTCGTGGTTATAGATTACACTTTGTTGTCTTTGTGTGTGTGAATAATGGTGGTATCGTATGCACATTACGCCCAAGCTTAAATTAAAGAGGTTCCTGATACATAAGAAGTTAAAAATATTTTCATTTACACTTGTTTTGTATTTCTTGTTTTTGTTCCAGTAATCGATAGCTATTAACATAGAGTAGATAAGACATGAACACGAATCTTAAATATTTCCCTTGACTATTACCTATTGTAATGTGGTTGTTAAATTTGATAGCTGCTTTCTGTGCTTCTTTGTTAAATGTTTGTTTGTTTTGAGATTGTGACACAGTGATGACTGCTGACCCATATTTTGACAAGGTTACCTGTTACGTCTGTTTTGTTCACACATCGTTGTAAATATATCGGAATTTGATGCGACTGTCATACAAGTGAGAGGTTTAGCGCTATAAAACCAGGTTCAATCCACCATTTTCTACATTTGAAAATGCCTGTACCAAGTCAGGAATATGACAGTTGTTGTCCATTCGTTTGATGTGTTTTATCATTTGATTAGGGACTTTCCATTTTGAATTTCCTCGGAGTTCAGTATTTTTGTGATTTTACATTTTTTGCATAATTGTCAAGTTTTCAAAATTTAAAGATGACATATGTTTTCATCCCTCAAAAACAAATTGTACATTTTGGGGACGTTTCTCTTTTCCGTCTTTTAAAAAAATAAACGTCTGTTTGTTTTAAACTACGCGTATATCGTTTTTTAATATCAAATTGAATGTAAAAGCCGTAGGTTGTAATAATATAACTGTCTTGCATATCATATAAACAAAGACTGAACAACACGAATCCCACCAAAAACCGGGGGTAATCTCAGGTATTTATCAAAAATAGAGTTTTAAATTGTATCTATTAGATAGATTTATATCGGATGTCTATATTTAAAATGATCACCTGTTGCACATCACGACATAATAAACAAACATATGTTCGAACATCAACAATGACATCTGTTTTCATCCAATCGGAGGACAGATTGGTGAAAATACACACACTGCTAACATAGTTCATTAAGGATAAAAGCTACACATTCATAACTAATAACCACTACTTGGGAAATAAGTTTATTTCTATACGGCACGTCGTTTCATTTTCTAGCCTGCGAGACTTAGTGATCCTACCTTGCGGCGACTAGAACATATATCAAACTTTGATAAAAGTTTATATAAAACTTAGACAAAATCTTTTTCGAATGCAAACGACAATAATATTTTTATTCATCCATATTAATATAGTGATAAATGTTTTTTTAAGTTAACATTTAGATAAAGCCTTAATAAAATGTTTTTGAGACATGAGTATCTTTTCAGAAGTTTATGAAACTTTGAAAAAAGCTTTTTGGTTTTTTTTTGTAATATAGAGAAAACCTTTGAAGCAAAATTTTACAAAATATATATTTTTTTTAAATTGTTAAGTATTTTACTGATAGAGGGACATTTTTTGCAGTCAATAATTACATACAGTATGGGGTTAAACTGTTTATACATTTGTAAACCGACATGGAATGTTACGAACAAGAAATATCATCTGAAGACTAGAGTTGGATTTTCTGTTATCTCTCAGTATTTTTGTGAAAATAGGAGTTGAAGGTCATATTTGTTGCCTTTAATATTCATAAGGAGATGTGGTTTGATTGCCAATAAAACATCTGTCCACCATGATCAACTGGTTTCATTTTCTGGAAGGTTGAATAAACCTTCAATTTGTGTTTATTCCGAACTAGTTCGAAACCGAAACTAGTTGTATATGTTTTTTTAAACTGAATCCAGCTTCCTAAACTTATCAACCCGAAACAAAAACAAAAAAACCAACAAAACTTCAACCAATCAACAAACCGACACCTCTTAAAGACAACGATACATTATTCAATACCGCAATAGACAAAGCTAACATCTTGAACATACATCATTAATCAATATTTACTAAAGAAAATGGCAAGGACGTACCAAGCCAACAGGTAAACAATACCCACCAATGACAAGAGATAAAAGTCACAACAGAACGCGATAGAAAATTATCAAATAAATGCAACCCGAGTAAAACCTATGATCCTGATAAAATTCCTGCAGAGATTTTAAGGTAATGTCCTGATGACCTAGCAACCCTACTATGCATTGTTTAATACTAGTCTTAGATCTGGTACTGTATCAGAAGACTTGAAAGAGTCAAGTGTTACAACAGTTTTTTAGAAAGGAAGCAGATACGATGCAAAGAACTAAAGACCTGTGTCCTTTACCTGTCTATGCTGTAAATTCCTGGGACACATTCTTGTCAGTAACACCTTGAAACACCCAGACAACTATAAAATACTGCCATCACGGTTTCATAGCAAGACGAACTGAACTTATCACGCAATGTCATGAACTAACATCACTTCTAGATAAAAGAGGTTATACTTTCTAAGGCCTTGATCGTGTCCCACATAGACGACTACTGAACAAATTGCATCATTCCGGAGTTACATGACATACAAACAAGTGAATCAATCATTCCTATCTGTTCGTGCCCAACCAGTCATCATTGAGAAAGAATCACCCGAGAAAGTTCCCGTGGTCACTAGTCCCCTAAGGTACTGTATTTGGACCGTTTCTATTCCTTTTATTTATCAACGACTTATCTGACAACATAACATCTGATGCACGACTATTTGCAGACGATTGCACAGTATAGAGAACAATAACATCACTTGCTGATACTAATTTACTGCAGGATCTTTACACACTTGCAGAATGAGAGAAACGTTGACCATGGTCTTTCAACCACAAAAGTGAAGTGTACAAAACACCACCAGATCACGCTCACCAATGCCTAAAAAACATCATACAATCTTAAGTTCTGGAAACATCAAGAAGTATCACATCGATAGATTAACCAAAAAAGCAACCAGCAGGCCAGGATTTCAAAAACGCAAAGTAAGAATATGTAATTGTGAAACAAAGACAAACGACAATAATCAGATCGAACTTAGATTACTGTGCAACAGTAAAGACCCCTTATGAAACAAAGCAGGTGAAAACAAATTGAGATGGTTCAGCATCGTGCTGCCCATCATGCCACTACTATAGGAACACCAGTAGTGTTGGGTAGCATGTTAGAGGAACTTGACTGGGAATCATTGAAAGACAGTAGGAAGAAACTAAAATTGACACCATTTTACAAAGTGGTAAATGATCTCGTTGATGTACCATGCGACCATTTTCTCACACCAATGTCAGCAAGAACACGTTCAGCACATATCAAAAAGTTCTGGAAATACTCAACATAGATCAATGACTAAGTACAGTTCTTTTTCAATAACAGTGACCGCCTGGAACTCTTGACCAGCAACAGTAGCTAAGGCTCCCTCTTTGGTATCCTTCAAGAGGATGCCTCCAACTCTCTCTTAATAGTATGTTTAGTCCTCCATTAGCCAAGTAAGTGAAATGATGGTCTTGATCTGTGCCAATGGTGATTATTTCCCTGGTACCGCCATGAAAGTGTGACTGGTTCAAGCCAGATGATTGCAAACCAAAGGGGTATAACCTTTCATCATACTTATAAACTTGCTTTATATATTTAGTCTCATCTAATGAATTACTCTATTTCTTAGCCCACTGGAAGCGCTGAATATTAGTCAAGATTGACAGTTCAACGTATGATGTAGATGTAGACAGCACTTATTGCGTAAATGACATTTCAATTTTCATGATCCAATATGTGCTATCTCATAATAATGTTGCAAAAGAAGTTCAAGGGCGATAGATTTCCAGGATGTCATAGGACTCAGAGATCATGCCTTTAGTGATCATAATATATGAAGATTCTTACTCAATCAGTTAAGCTTGCATTTATAATGTGACTGGTGATTCAAGTATTTAGATTTCACAATGTAAAGTAGTTAAAAATATTTCAAAAGGTACTAAATAACTCAAAATACATTTATGACAATAATGTTGACCTCTTGGTAAATAACAAATTTTTAAACCTTCAAAGGCACAGAAACTATAATGATAATAATTTTCAGTCGTCATGATTCAATCTAATAAAATGTGGCACTGGGCATTAAGCAACCAACAATCAAACAATCAATCAATCAATCAATTTCAAATGGTGTGATAGTTCAAGAATATATCAAAAATATTCCAGCTTTACTCGGATTGGTGATTGCTTTTAAACAACAATAACCATTGACAATCTTGGGAGTCATAAAAACTTCATTATACATATTTTAAAATTATTTTAATCAGCTAATTATTTTTCTTAATTGACTTGGATTTAAAAGGCTCATACTATCTTAATCAAGCTTAAACATTTTTAATTCAAATTTTAAAAGCTCCTGATCAAATAGTTCCCATTTTTTCTGACTGCTAATTTCTGAATCCCACTATTAAAAAAAAATATAACTACACTAAGAGTTAGTCTATGCATCTAGAAAGTGACACAGGATTTGTATATAGTGATCATAAAGTCCATACAAACAATCCCTCAGCAGTATGAATACAGGAGATATTTGATATATATGTCTATGATATGATAACAACCTAACATTATGTTTTTTAAATCCATTTAAATATCTACTTTCATGTACCGACTACAACAATAGACAAGTGTTAAATGACTAGCTCTAACCAGACTCAAGTCTAGAAAAGTTGAAATATCTATTATAAAAGGCTTATAAACCCAAACCCAAACCTAAGCTTGATTAAATGACTGCCTGACAAGCTGAAGTCTTTCTTGCATAACAAAAATAAATCATATGATATGGCCTGCTAATATATAAAGTTATTTTTCAGAGCACTGTGAGCTTCAATATGTTTTTAGTTAAGTGTGTCTGTTTAGATCTGACTATTCCAAGTTATGATAGATTCAGTAATAATATAAAACACAATGAACAGGATAATATAATTTATTGTGATGATTCAATATCTTCCTTGAAATTCAGTCTTCTCGGTTTCATTTACCATTTACTTTGAAGTACCAAGGAGGAACCTAAAAATATAAAATGGAGTTGTAAAGTTTAATTGTCTATTTGTTCATTTAATACAGTCAGTTTATATAATGCTGTTCTCATCCCAACTTTAAACAAAACTGATTTTGTTTTTATTAAGAGAAAGCGACATTACCATATAAGAAATATAAAACACAGGTCTAAGAAGATAAATGAGGAGATATAATAAGAAACAAAATTATAAGAATAATTTGTCATCCTTTCAAAATTTTATTTTGCTAATTTTATTGATAAATGAAAAGGATGATTAAATCTGGACACTTTGGTGCAGAAATGTCACTATGATGTCACAAACATATAGAAATTGACCTAATGGACCCAAAAAGGCCATTTATGACACAAATAAGTACAGAAGGCATAGGGTATTGCATACCACCTCTAATAACACTACATTATGTGGGGGGGGGGGGGGGGGGGAATAAAACTTGCCACTGAATTGTCCCAAAGTTTCTAAACATAACCAATATTGATGGTAATAAAAAAATGCCAATTATAGTATAAATCAAGCACTTAGCTCAGTTATGAATTTTGTTTAAATTTTGTTTTTAAATGAGTTGCTTACCATTCATTTCTTGCAGTCACTGCTTCCTTTCTAACCAATCTTTTCTTGTCGTCTAACGCTTTCTCTAATCCCTTAATAACGTGTAGTTTGTATGGTAACACTGTGTGTGTAGGTAGTACTGTTAACACACCTATACACTGCAAGGCACTTTGTCGCAATTTCTGAAAAAGATAACATAGTGACACTAAGCGTACATTTTTGGTTAGCTTAGTATTTATTATAAAAATAAGAAGTGGTATGATTGCCAATAAGACAACTATCTACCAGAGACCAAATGATGTAAAAGGTTACAAACTATAGGTTAGTATTCATGTTTCATTACACATACACATATTTTTGCATGTTATATCGCATTATACCCTGTACAAGACTCACAAAAATCTGATATAACATTTTTTATTAAAGATTTACAATAATAAATGCACAAATAATGTTATGAATTTATAGTAATTCATATAATAGTAATCTTAATGCATTAAATGAATATGACACCCATACATCACAAAAGGGAACTGACAGCAGCAGCAGCAGTAAGAACCAATGTCAGTAACATATTAATTTTTCATTATAAAAAGACATAAGACCAAAATCTTTATGTGCATTTCTAAATGAAATCTTCACTACTTGGTAACAATCTTATATCAACAATCAAGAATTATATTTACTGTTTTCCATTAAACTCATTCTTTTCAATTGACTAATTATAACCAATAGGCCAAAATGCTATCACATTAGCATTCATTATATCTAAAAGACATAAACTAGTCTGTTTCAAGTAAAATGAGCTTATTGAAGTCATAGTCCTTCCGCTAACAACCAAAAATTCTTTTAAAAATTCTGTGCAAGATTAACTTTCAAAACTACATATTACCATAGAAGTCTGTGCTTTTGCTAGCTTGAGAAGCTGAGGAATCAATGAATCTATATGCTTGGCAACAACTTCTGGTGCATCATGGGTAAGGTCATACAGTGTATCCATAGTAGATGTCTGTAGTTCAAGGTCATCACTCAATAAGGAATGAACCATCAATGGAAATAACTGAAAACATTCAATACATTTGAAAAAAGATTTACAGGTAGTACCTGTGACCATTTAATTACAATACACACAATGTTATTCAGTTAAAATCAGGCTTATTGGTGAACTTCATAGTTACAGATTGTATTTAATAACCTCTCAATTCCATCACTGCATTGTCCATACATATGACAAGGACATGAATCAAACTGTTATCACCTTCAATATCAGGTACACATAACCCTTTTTCATAGTTAATCACTCAACATCAACAAGAGTAAACTTAACTGGATACATTTGTATCTACATCCTACATACTGTGGCTTCATTTATTTTTATTGGATACCAATTTTCGTGGATTGAGGAACTATTTTATTTTCATGAATATTTGATTTTATAGTTTTGACACAGTCTGCAAACAAGCCTTTGGATTGTTTTACACTAGTCATTTTGGGGCCCTTTATAACTTGCTGTTTGGTGTGAGCCAAGGTTCCGTGTTGAAGGCCGTACTTTGACCTATAATTGTTTACTTTTTACACATTGTGACTTGGATGGAGAGTTGTCTCATTGGGTAGAAAATTTGTACTTAGTTGAACATTTGGGTTCGTGGTTTTCCTTTATCCATGAAGTACACAAGAATTGATATCCCATGAATAATGATGAATCCACAGTTGTTTAGTTTTAAGTAGCAAAAGAGCTGAGTATATTTCATATCTGATGGTCAACTACAGTTATAGTAAAAAAACTTACCTTTATATTTACATGACATAAATGTCATCGAAACCAAGTACCTATGAATATGGTATAACCCCAAGAAATCCAACGGGACCTTTGAAAAGGCTAAGAGTGTTCTATTTATTAATCCTTATTTCATTAAAGTTAGAGTGAGCTAAAAATAAACTTACTGGTGGCAATTCATTTAGCAACACTTGTTTAGGTAAGGTTTTTAACATGACTGACAGCACCCTGAGATAATTCTTTCTTGTATCTAAAATATAAATAAACAACAAATTCCCACTAATTTCTAATACATATGATTAACAAAACTTAAGCTTGATAACAAATAGTACTCTCGACTATCAAAATAAAATTCTACGTTTGTGACATGTAGTGAAACAAAATGATGTACTGGCGACTGTTGGTTTCAACTTTCATGGATAGAGGAAAGACTGTATTATCCTTGATACTTGATTTTGTGGTTTTGCCAAAGTCTGCATACAAGCATATAAAAAATTTTAACTTTTTCACACAGTTAGTGTAACACTTAAATTTTTTGTTCACGTGTACCATTAAAATTCACAATAAACTGCTTCGCCGAGCGCAGCTGGATATGACTGCAGAGGTCCAACCCTGAACAGTTGGGGCAAAAATGGACACAATATTCAAGCTTGATACAGGTCTGAATTTGGATTGTAAATAAACATTTGACACATTATAGGTTTCTGACACAGAATAAATGTAGTCAAAGAACTTGAAATTGGTTTAATATGATTTGAATTTATATTTAATTGAAGATTTCTTGCTGTTGTGCAATACACTGTGCTGTTGCGCAATACTTAGTAAATCTGTTTTCAGACTATATACAAAGAATTAGCAAAATAAATTGTGACCCCCAATTTTTTTTTAAATTGGTAATTTCTTAAATCTTGAGGGAAAACAATTGACCCCCCCCCTGTTCATGCTGTTGTATGAAAATCAGGGGCGGATCCAACCATTTATAAAAGTGGGGGTTCCTAACCCAGGATAAAGGGGGGGGTTCCAACTATATGTCCCCATTCAAATGCATTGATCGTCAAAAAAAAAGAGGGGGTTCCAACCCCTCCCCCCCTGGATCCATCACTGAAAATTGTATTTACGAATACAAATAAATCTACAGTATCAGACTGATGAAATTGATATTGAAAGTGTAGCTATTGTTACTTTCAGATTTCAAATCTTTAAACTTTCGTACAAGGTTTAAATTGTGTGCATTGAGTGACTAGTGTACCCTTCACATTAATATTGTTAACTTGCACAATCTATTAACATAGTGTACCCTTCACATTAATATTGTTAACTTGCACAATCTATTAACATAGGGTTAAATTCACAGGAATTTTCAAAGATCATAAATTAAGTTAAATTTACCCCTTGTGAAAACTTTCATATTTTCAATATAAAATGTATAGTAATACTGTTATTTTATAGATTTATTTATCTGTCTTTTTGAGAAAGGGAAAAAGGTTAAAGCAAATTTCAAAGCAAAACAAAAAAAATGCAAATGTTTTTATATGTACCTTAACAAATATATATTTAATTGTATCAAAACTTTACAGTAATTTCCCCTGAGATAGTAAATTATCTACCTTGACCAGTGGTATCAAATGACTTGACAAGATGTGAAACGTTTTCTACAAACAGTCTCTGTTTATACATCATACGTGTCACAGCTTTCATTTGTCTGTTTAATACATCATCACTATCTGTTAAAATTGTGTTGAAACCATCTGCAACCTCTCGTCCAATATCTTGGTCACTTAACAAAGACATCAGCTAAAAAGACAAATTATTGCAGTTCATTTGTATAAAATGGTTTTATTCAATGCTGTATTTAAGGTTGTTAGGAATTTATATTTATGTTGCATAATGTGTGATGATAACTGTGTAGAAAAGACTTAATTCCATTTCGTCATAAACTGTAAATATTGCAATAATTTGTGAGCACAACTTTTCTCAAAAATCATAATTTCATATACTTGTATTCTATCAAAAGATGAACAGTTTAAATATTTACTATGTCAGCATCCAAGAAAAACTGCTAATATCTAATGCAAGCTTTCAGTAAGAGAAAATACTTTTTGTATGAAAATTTTCGAAGTTGATTTATTTTGTTTCGTTGTACTACATGTATATTGACATTAAGGTCTAAAGTGACTTATAGGCCCAAAGTGTCAGGGATGTTCTAATAATTGTTTTTATTCACACTGTATTATACACTAGTGGTCAAAAATACATGTCACTACACTAAATAATTTAGTTAGAATTTAGCTATAACGTGAGGGTACCCAAATTGCACCTATTTTGACAGTTTTTTCACCTACATTTTTTTATGATCTAGACAAAAGTTTCCATTAGGTTTTTATTTTGTAGATGTATCATTATTTACTATATGGTTCCACCAATTTAATTTTGAATCCATATTGATTTATAGAAAAATGGGTTTGAACAGACCTCAAAACGATCCATGGTTCTGTAATGAGGAGTACCCAAATTACATTCATGCTTAAATTCACATCCTTAAAAGTCCAATAACAGATTGTTTGTTTTATTTCTTCAAATATTTTGAACAATTTGACATAAGTCCATGCTTATTGTTCATTTTTTAAGAAAAACATATTTTATTTGCCAATTTTTAAAAGATGACTTTTTGTGGACGTAGCATGGGACGTTTCCATACATTTTACTTTTTCCAGTAAACACTTCATGTGTTGATATATACAGTTAACGTTTTGTGTATATCTAAATATATTTACCTATGTTGAAAGACGTGCATAGTGTCAAATCATAAAAATACAAATTGTTTAGTCTCTAGGAAAACTTGTAAGATTTCCGCTGCTATTTTTGCTAAATAGGTGCAATTTGGGTACTCGGTGCAATTTGGGTACCGTGACGTTAGATACATTACACCATACATGTACATATAGAATATTACATTTTTTCCAACATATCATAATTGCATCTTTCTGCTTTAATCATATGACAACCAATAAATATCTTGTGAACTGTGGCGGTTATATGCACAACCTAAGTTATATTGGTATAAAAACCAATAAATCCTTATGCAATTTTACAAATATAATGGTTAACTATGTATTCCACTGTTGATCACACTAGTTAGCTTACAGGGACAAAAGTTACAACTCTCAGAAACTTTCAATTATGACAGATTTAACTTTCAAGTTTTTTGCATCAAAACTTTACTGTTTTTAATAAAAGTTGCCTGGCTTGTACCACAAGTAAAGAAATGTCTGTGTTGTCTACAGTCCTAGTTCTTACAAATAGAATCATTGTTTGTGACCTCTGATGACCTCTCATCACTAAAGCTTTAGTAAACCATATAATCATCTGTAAAGCTGACCGTCTGCTTTCAGAGGTTTTATTTTGCACTGTTTTCTCTATGTCTGATAAATCTATGTTTTGTAGAACTGAAATATAAGAAATTACACTATAACAGTAAAGACAAAGATTTTTCATTCATATTTTAACCGTTAACTGATTTTAAACTGATCATTCCAGATTCTAATTTAGTTCCTCACACGTCTTGAGTACACACCCTTGGTAAATATTAATATATGGTATGTCAGCTGATATGGCTGTTCAAATCACTTTCCTACGTCGTATGCTTTTTATGAATTAGTTTCCCTGAGGTCAATCGGTGCAAATGACGTCATTGAACGACCAACTCTAACTTTTACATAAGAACATAAGTATTGTACGGGAAAATGCACAAATGTGAAAGTCTTCAAAACATGGAAAAAAAAACAAACAAAGAAAGGAAAATGTTCAAATCCCACTTTCTTAAATTTTCCTAATCGTTTAACTTCATGCTAACCTATCTAAGTATGTCATTGTAAATAGTTCAAGCATGTCACTTATTCAGTTATCTTTGTTCTTTACGTCAATATTAATAGTGTGTTCAATTAAGGGAACAGCAAATAATTGCCTTCACATAGAACGCTTCCATCCAAAAGAATTTCCAACCTTGTCCTATCAGAATAGGAATTATTCATGGAGGCTTGAATTTATATTGATATTACATTGGGTGGGCCTTTATGCCGATATTTTACTCCTCCCTATCGCTCGAGGTAAAATATTCAGCATAAAGGGCCAACCAGTTATAAAATCAGTATAAATTCAAGCCTCCATGAATTATTTCTTAAATATATAGTAAAGGCTGTCTGAAGGGAGGGGGTGGCACATTCTCAAACAACAAAAAAATATAATAGCAGCAGCTACAGTTTTATCAGCATCACTGAACATCAAATGACTGGAACTAACTTCGACTGCATTTACTTCTGCTTGTAAATGAATGAAATGTCAGTAATACAAAGTTTCAATAAAAATTATTCATATTAAAATTTCCCCTTGTTTTGCAACATTTCCAATTATAAAGATTATACAGAATTGATTGGAACACCATTTCATTAAATGGTAAAATCAGTCATCTGTGATGACACAAACATTATTAATATAATGAAAAGAAATAAGTGAACTTACTATCAGGATGTTTGTTTACTATTCCAGCCAAACATTTACATGCTTCTGTTTGTGTAGTTCTGTGGGGTGACATTCTAGACAGATGTAACAACTTCTGAACATATTCATCTTCATCTATAAGCTGTAAGGAATATTTAGGTCATATTTAATTTTTCAATAGTTCAAAACTTCATACATACATTGATTAAACAAGTTAAAAATATAAAAAAACTACTAAATTTTCACTTTGAATGATTAGCTGTGTAACTTGAAAAATTTTCAGATTAATTTTTATTATACTGGTCCAGTACCAGTTACCGTCAGAAATTTACAGTTTTCCTCAAATATTTCTTAACAGGAATTCAGTTTGCACATATTTTTTTTAAATAAAACAGGTTACCAAAATTCATTTTTAGCACCATTGACTCAGACTTCAAATCCTCTTATAACTAAGGTAAAGCATGGTACTACTGTGGCGATTTTTGTGTGAAATTTTACGAGGACCACTTACTGTCACTTCAGAATCTAGCTACTTTAAATAATAGAAATTTTCGCTTAATCAAAACCATAGTTTCATAGTTTGATATTCTATGGTAAGAAGAGAAGGTTGGAGGTCAAATAAACATATAGTCCTTCTGTCCAAAAAAAGCTTTTCCTTCCTCTAGCTAAACCTGAACTGATTAAGAATTTATGTTACTTGAAATCAACAACTTACACTGTATTCAATAAGAGCAAAGAAGTTCATTTTCAAATTAATGAACCTTTTTTAAACTTATGAAAGAAATTATTGTTGTAAAGCAAGCTTTGATATTACTTTGTCTGAAAACGGTAAGTTTTCTAAAATCGAGGACGTCATTATGTGATGATGTCATGTCCCCGCACGCTTATCTTCCCACAAAGTGTTAAAAAAGTGAAAAATCATCATTTTCTTTTTTTAATCTGGTCATACAAAACAAAGTTTCTAAAAATTAAATGTAAGTGTGCAGATAATAACAGTATGCCGTATTTACGAAACGCGTCAATTATTGCATAAAATGCCAGGTGAAGGTAACTGGTCCTCGACCAGTAGTAAATAAATATTGATTATTCTTATCCTTTTATGACATTACAATGCATCACAGTTGATGATTTACATTCTTAACTTCTATCAATTATCAGTGTTTCAAGGCAACAGAAACATTCTCCACCCCAGAATCAATTATTTATTGACTTCTTTACTTTACAAATAAAGAATAAAGAACTGAATTTATCAGTAAAAATTTTAGATATTTAATAATATATTTGAATGCCCACATCAAAAGCTGTTAATCTACCTTTTCATTACATGTACAAATTACTGGTGTTACCATAGATACCACTTGTGTTTGCTGCCATGGTGATGAAACCTATAAAAGAAAACTTATAAAACAGTACCCGGAGGTAAGCTTCAGCTGGCCCCTAAACAATAATGTATACTTGTTCAGCGAAAATGGACGTCACACTAAACTCCGAAACATGTCAATTTTATACTAAAGAAATTTTTAATGGACTGTAAAGATCTATCCAGAAACTATGTTACATTTAATAGTATTAGCGTACCTAACATTTTACAATGTAGTTTTTTTAACTTTGAAAATTCAAAAGTGAAAAAAAATTGACATTTATAAATTCATCATATAATAATGTATCAATATGGGAAATCAATCAAATAAATTTTAAGAGCAAAAAAGTAGACTTTCAATTGAACTGATATTTACTAATTTGAGCACTATTATAATGTAGAATATCTTAAAACAGACATATTAAAATAAATAATAAAATGCTTCGCTGGGGCGCAGCTTGATACGACCGCAGAGGTCGAACCCTGAACAGTTGGGGCAAGTATGGACACAACATTCAAGCTTGATACAGCTCTGAATTTGGATTGTTATTAAATATTTGACACAGCATAGGTTTCTGACACAGAAAGAATGTGGTCTAAGAACTTGAATTTTTTTAATTTACCTATTATGGTCCAATGTCCAAAATCAAAATACATGGTTAGATTCAGCATATCAAAGAACCCCATATATTCAATTTTTGTTGAAATCAAACAAAGTTTAATTTTGGACCCCAACTTGGACAAACTTGAAAACTGGGCCCATAATCAAAAATCTAAACACATGTTTAGATTCAGCATATCAAAGAACCCCAAGAATTCAATTTTTGCTAAAATCAAACTAAGTTTAATTTTGGACCCTTTGGACCTTAATGTAGACCAATTTAAAAAACGGGACTTAAAATTATAAATCTAAATACACGGTTAGATTTGGAATATCAAAGAACCCCAATAATTCAATTTTTGATGAAATCAAACAAAGTTTAATTTTGGACCCTTTTGACCTCAATATGAACCAATTTGATAGCGGGGCCTACAAATAAAAAATCTAAATACATGGTTAGATTCAGCATATCAAAGAACCTCATATATTCAATTTTTGTTGAAATCAAACAAAGTTTAATTTTGGACCCCAATTTGGACCAACTTGAAAACTGGGCCCATAATCAAAAATCTAAATACATGTTTAGATTCAGTATATCAAAGAACCCCATATATTCAATTTTTGTTGAAATCAAACAAAGTTTAAATACTGGACCCTATCTTGGACCAACTTGAAAACTGGGCCCATAATCAAAAATCTAAACACATGTTTAGATTCAGCATATCAAAGAACCCCAAGAATTCAATTTTTGTTAAAATCAAACTAAGTTTAATTTTGGACCCTTTGGACCTTAATGTAGACCAATTTAAAAAACGGGACCCAAAATTAAAAATCTAAATACACTGTTAGATTCGGCATAACAAATAAATAAATGTGATCAAAGATTTTACAAATCTAATGCGCCATACTGTGCAATTAAAGATTACTTCTTGAAATTTTTCAATATTTGAAATTTGAAAAAAAAATAATGTTTGAAGAATAATTCTTTTTAATTTCTGAAATCTGAAATGAGAAAAAATTGGCCCCCCACAATTTCTTTTTATCCCCCCCCCCCCCCTTTTTCCCCCAAAAAAATTCTTTCCCTCAAGATATGGTCATAATCTCAATTCAAATTTCCAATGGAGTTGGCAACCATAATTCCCCATTTAAATTTACCATAGTGCTAACTTAATCTATTTTATAATAGAATTAATAAAAATATAGTGTCAAATCTTTCACATGGATTTTTTTGTAAAAAAAAAGATGAAAACATTTGCAGATATTTTTACTGGTCTTCCTTTATAAATATGCATTTCTTTAAACATAATTTAAAAGCAGTGTAAGGGAAGTAACCAAAACATTGTATTTGGATTACCTCCCTTACACTGTTTTAGATTATCTTTATTGTTCATTAACCATTACTTTATACATAATTTAAAAGCAGTGTAAGGGAGATAATTTCAATGATGTATTTGATTTATCTCCCTTACACTGCTTTAAATTATGTTTTGTACTAAAGTATTTGTCCATTAACCAGGACAACCTTTTTTTCCCCCTTTTTTGCCCCTAATTCCTAAACGGTTTGAGCCATAACCCCCCAAAGCAAATCCTAACCATCCCTTTGTGGTATGGAAACTTGTAGTATAATTTCAGAGAGATCCATACACCGTTCCACAGTTATTGTCTGGAAACTAGAAAATGCTCATTTTTGGCCCCTTTTTGGCCCCTAATTCCTTAACTGTTGGTACCATAACCCCCAAAATCAATCCCAACCTTCCTTTTGTGGTATTTAACCTTATGGTCAAATTTCAAAAAGATCCATTCACTTAAACTAAAGTTAGAGTGCGAAAACCAATATGTATTCGGACGACGACGCCGGACGACGACGACTACGCCGGACAACGACAACGACGACGACGACGACGCCAACGCCAACGTCATACCAATATACGACCACAAAATTTTTTTGCGGTCGTATAAAAAGTACTTAACATACTTCAAATTCTATGCACAGATAATTTGTGTAGAAACAGCAGGGCCTATGGTCATAAAACTTTCCTCAGTACTGGGAGTACAAAACTTGTGCTTGAAACACCAAATCCAGTATTTTGATTGGCTGATATCTTAATCTGAGCACAATAACCGTACTCAAAAGTTTTATGACCCCAAGGCATGAATAACTTACATCAAGAGGATTAAATGTTCCATCTGTTATATCTATAGCACTTGTACTTCCGTGTAAAAATATCTTTGTGACTAAGGAATAAAGAGCTTGCAGTTGACTGAAAATAAAACATAATTAGTTAACATACATTTTACTGTGACTTGATCATAAGTGTTGCTGTTTACCTGTAGCTACTAACTGAGTTTTAAGTTGACAATACAACTGGGACAATAATAAACTGTTATCACAGAGATATGTCTCGCCCTTTATTATTTTGAAATTAAAATAGCAATACTTTAACATGTTTCATAAGTTATGCAAATATTCAAAGTCAATGAACCATGACTGAGGTACATGGCTGCTAAACAATCTCCATGTAAATGAGATGTGCCAAAGCTAATACAACTGCATACCTAATACCATTGACTTATTATAAGTTGTTCCCTTTAAACAAACCTAAACACAAACACTAACTTGTAAACTATGTAAAAGTTTCAAAGTCAATGAACCATGAAGAGGGGGTGGGGCTATATAATCTCCATGGGAACAATACTTGCAAATGCCAATAAATTTGCATACCAAATATCATTGACTTAACATTAACAGTTCATCTTAAACTGATCTAATCACAAACTAATTCATGTAAACTAAGCAAAAGTTTCTAAGTCGATAGACTATGACTGAGGGGGCGGGGACAAATATTCTCCATGGTAATGAGATGTGCTAATGCTTATACAACTGAATACCAATTAACATTTGCCTACCCTAAATGGTTCCCCTTGAACTGACCTAATCACAAACTAATACATGTTAACTTAGCAAAATTTTCAAAGTCAATAGACCATGACTAAGGGGGTGGAGCCAAATAATCTCCATGGAAATGAGATATTCCAATGCTTATACAACTGCATATTAACTATCATTGACCTACCACTAGTGGTTCCCCATAAACTGACCTAATCACGAACTAATACATGTAAAATAAGCAAAAGTTTCAAAGTCAATAGACCATGACTGAGGGGGCAGGGCCAAATAATCTCCATGGAAATGAGATGTGCCAATTCTAATACAACTGCATACCAAATATGATTGACCTACCACTTGTGGTTCACCATAAACTAGACCTACTCACAAACTAATACATTGTTGTTGACGACACCGCTGCCGCCACCGCCAGAAACAGCATACCTATGTCTCGCTTTTTGACTCCGTTAGTTGCCAGAATAAAGCCCACTGAACCAGGAAGATGGATGGCTGTTTAACGTCCAGAGGCAAATTAAATGCACATGATAATGTGATATGAATATAAACCCTGTTTTGTACTAGACTGGCACCCTGGGTCAGATTTAAAACATGCTAGGGGTTATCTTAAACTTGCAGTGAGGTAAGAGTTTTTTTGCTCCGTGCTGAAGGCCTCACTGTGACTTTTAGATGAAGAACAGCAATAAAAGTGCTGTTCCTCTGCTTTTTGTGTGTTGTTTGCTGTGCATGTACTGATTTTGGGTCATGGATGGATACCCCATATCCTTGTTTTTCTATTAGTTCACAAGGTAACAGTCCTCAGGAAGACATGTCATCATACTGGGACACATTATTCTGAGTCTGAACTGACCAGTCTATGCTCTTACTTCTAAATGCTGGGTGCTTAGGGACGAAGCAGCAAATACCTATTTCCAAGTCTTTGGTTTGACCTGGCCAGGGTTTGAACTCATCTGACACTTGAGACAAGCACGCTACCACAACACCAAGGAGGCAGTGAACCAGTAAGAATCTATTTTGATGAATTTATCAATGAAAGGTCACTAAAGAGGTTATATTTTTTCAAACTCTAAACTGACCATAACTTGTGTGTAAATATTTTATATGTACATTTTGTATTAACCCTTCCTTTTTGTAGTTAACACTTATTCTTATTATTTAAAACCAAATCTATATACATATAGATTCTTCTTTAAACTTATGATTTAAGGCAACCACAACTTCTTCAATTCCTATTACTGCTGTTTCATTACTAAAAGGTACCTTGAAGACTTTTAAACAGAAAGTTTGATACCATAAAACCCACTGTATTTCTTTACATAGTACCTAACATAGACTAGAATATTAACATGTTATATTTGCACCACCAGATGATATAATATATTTCAACTTCAGTGTTCTCCCATAGACATTATAGCATCATGGTAAGCTGACCCTGTCTGAAATGGTTTTCTTATAGATGACTTGCTATATTTTCTAGAAACAAGATGGTATTTCAAAATTCCCAGTTTATCAGGAAGCTATATAAAATTTGTGGGGGAAAACTGTTAAATTAAAGTTTTCTACATTTTGCCAGTGAGCTATACAGTTACCATGGTAATCATGTATTTATCATGTCTTATTGTCCTACCCTTCCTCAAACCTGTTGCCTAAACTTCTACCATTAGTACTAACATATATACCTATTATCACATCTAATTGCAATACACTGTACACAACGAGAGAAACTGTTAATAATTCGTGGTGAATGTAGCACTGATGTAGAACATAAACTATTCTGTATCACAGTTTTATAAATGTTCAATGCAACATTGCTATACAAATATTCCAATGACTTTTTGTCATCTAAGTTTTTCTGAATAACTGTGAGTAAACAGCTGACTAGATTATTTGTTCTTTGTTCTGTTTTTTCATTCTCCATTCCTGTAATAAAATATATTGTTACAAATGTGTGATAATTTATAACATATGTCATTGAATATTCTAAGAATATATTGACTTATTGTACACTGATTTATAAAAGGCAAAATATCCTGACCCATTGAAAAAGATAAGTATTTTTCCTATAAATATCTGTTTTCTGTTGAGAGATCCTTATATAAAGGAGACTGAGTGAAGTTATGAATGGATTTAAAACAAATGCATTATGTAATTCAACAAGCCTTAGCATTTATATGATGTTATATTTAACCTTCATTAAGTATAGCAAGTTTTCTGATTCCATGGATATGAGACATTGGAAAGTTGAATTTTAAGAAGAATTGCAATACTAACAATGCAGCAGTGCCACAATTTTTTGTGTCCATCCACTTCAATTTATCAATGAATATGCATGTGAAGTCATTCATACAACCAATCAATCATGACAGGTTTTGTACATGTAAAAAGAGTTTGTTAACTACTTCATATAAATATCATCATCTATACACTAAGAAAAATATTGTTAAGACAAAAATTCCTAATAAAGAGATTAATGGCAATTTATTTTTATACAGTTTCATCTGCTCAAATATCAGCTCGCCCTATTTGGCTTGCTTGATATTCTTATTGATAAAGCTAGTATCAAATACAAAAATGCCATTATTCTATATGAATATGGTTAAGGCCTTAAGTTAATTTCTTATAAATGTAACCAACAACTGAATACTATACCTGTTGTTGACGTTCCTGATAAAACTTGTAACAATTCTTTTGATACCATAACCAGGGAATTATAACTGATTGTTACTGTTGATAATACAGCATTAATTTCATTATCCATGTCTTCTGAACCTTAAATAGAGGTATAACATCATTGATTATTATACATAAACAGTCTCCAACTTGTATGATATAAGAACTACATTGAGACTCTTAAATTTGAATCTTAGTTACCAGTATTTCAGAATGGCAAATCACAATAGACAGGACAGTTAGATGAAATTTTATAACCATATTAGTTATAACAGAAAAATGTGCTGGGTTTATTTCAAAATGTTCTACTATGACTTTGTACATAAACAGATTTCAAATATGTTGTTTTTCCTTCACAATGTCCTACAATGGCTGTACATAAAAAGTTTTCAATTGAAACTATTATTTTTGATTATTTAGAAATGAAAATTATAACCAAACAGTTGCCATTAACATTGAGTTAACTACAGTTGACTCTCATATCTCGAAACCCGGATCAGAGAAATATTTCCTGATACCTGTAGTTAGACTCAAACTAAACCGGAAGTTTGTCAGACCAAGGGACACAACTCTTGCTAAGCTTGGTTAGGCTAAAATAAATCCCGATGAAATATGGGTAGGGGATCGATATTCTGGTCTCAGATAGATGTATCTGTATGTAAGGTTCTTTCATTATTATAAAATAATTTTATGTTTTCGTCTCTTATTTATTTCTTTGTACAGTTACAATTTTTCCCGTAGTTTTTAGCCGAGAGAGTAATTTCCCATCGATCTTAATGTTATTTAAAGTTGACAAAATTGTTCATTTTCATATACATGGTATACAAGAGATTTTTTAAAAATTTACATTGCTTTTCATTTTCTTTTATTTTGTCTGCAAAAAAAATACAAAAAGATCAAGGATGCCAATTGAGCAGTTTAGAGTTGATCACCAATGGAAGTCTTAATCACTACTTTATATACAGCCAAGCTCATTAGTGTATGTTTACGGTTAATTGTTTTCAAAACATTTTAAATGATTTTTCATAACCTATAACAATGTATCACTAATTATTTATCATGGTGATCAAAGATAATCTAAGATAAACACTAGTGGAAAAAGAATGTCATAAATCAATAAAAGTATTTACAGGTATTTAGCTTAATTTCGTCTCCGAATGACTTTCGATCTGCTCCGAATAACCTTGTCAAGCAACAATCACTTTTTAATTATGAATTTTATAAATTGTGACGTCAAATTTTATGGGAACTTGTGTGATTTTAAGTAATGGCGGACAAATTTGCATACAAGTGTAAATACGTCTATACAGTGGTCAGTGACCGGAAATTTAATTACACATGTATTGTCAGTTTAACTCTTCAATCCATTTAAATTCCCGAGGTCATGTTTTGACATATGTGTATTAGTTCGAGATGAATAATGAATTTTGAATGTTTTTGTTAACCTTTGGACTGTAAATTTAGTTCAAGTCAACTGAAATTTCCGACTCATCCAATTTCAATTCATCAGGAGTTGAAATACATATATTCATATGGAACAAAGTTCGGAACCACGAGAAAACTTCGACTCATTCGAAATTTAGAGTCAACCGAATTCAAGACAACTAGAGTTAACTGTACTTGCAATAAAATGTGCATACCTTTTAATACATTGTTTAGTCCATCTTTTAACCTTTCCAGTACTTTGGGAATGACTGTAGACTCTAAGACGACTGTATGCATTTCTGCAATGGTTTTTAAAGGCTCCAAACATGATTTCCTTAAACAAAATAATCAAACAATTAGTAAAGTACAGACTTTTATAAAAATCATAGTACATACTAGAAGCTAATGCATTCTTGGTAAAATTTTCAAAAGCATACAGTATAATATTGTGATAATTTGTTCATTTGAGATCAAAACAATCACCCATAGCCTTATATATTCTGAATGGTTAAATACAACTTTAGTCTACCCAAACAGTTTTTACTTATAAGAATTTCAGTTTTTAAAAATTGATTATCAGTGTAAGAAGTGCTCATAAAATCATTTAAGTCAGCTTATCACAGTTTTTTTTTTTGTTCTGTTCCATACACATTTTACTTTGAATAAGTCTCTTTACTGTCACTGTACTATGTATCTCACCAGAACTTATTCTATTTGATGAAACATTTATATTATGTAATGTCGAGAGAAAGTTTAGACATTAATTCACGGATTTCAAAGCTTTCCCCTTGATCTTACTGGAACATGAATATGTTACTCATTAACTAAAACTTTTTCTCAGAAATTTGTTATGTCATACATTAACAGTGATAATTCAAAAGTTTTAATATGTCAGTTAGAGGAAAGACATAAATGTGCAATTCTAGTGCAAAAACCTTTGCAGAAAGTAATCAATTCCTATATTTGGTGGTGCTTTTGTAACTCAATTTTTAATTTTCCATGCAGTTTTTTGTGAACCTAGTAAAACTTTCAAACATTTTTTTCTTTTGGCCAATATTGTTCGTCTTTTTATGATTAAGGTTGTCCCTTAGGTACCTTGGAACTTTTTCATGTTATCTTTAAATTTTTCAAATCTTCAATATGCAAATCTGACATTGGTTTTGTCCAAAAAACCCTGATTGAATCCAATGTATATGTAGATCTTGGATGAAGGTCATATCTCATAAAAATCTTTAGTACACTGACCTTAAGTCAGAAGGAAATCCAGTTGAAATTAAACGGATGGACGGACGGACAGACTGATTACTATAGGGCGACCCACCACTAGGCGGGGCCCTAATGAATGTGCCTTATTTAGGATTTTATGCATCTTATATATGTGTTTTTACTTAAATTAGGGTATGGAGCTTCGAGATATTTTATACTTTTAAATTATATACAAATTTTCACAAAACAGTCGATTGTGGTAGGTGCAAATACACACGGATCTTTTTCTTGCATAAGCATGAACTCCGCTGAAAAAATATTCAAAGAAAGATAATAGATTGATCTTTTTAAAGCATTAACTTGCATCTCTGCAAATCCCCAAAGTGGTCAATAATTTCATCCAAAAGAGAAAGTAGAGTCCACCTTTTTATGTTCAAGCGTGTTTGAGTTGACTATTCTGTCTTGAAAATGTATAAAAGAAAAATATTGGATACATCATCTCGGGTGTGTTATCTAGGGTAATAAGTCTTCAACTTGTGAAAATTTTTAGTCTGCTCTTTCATGAAATATTCAATAAGAATTTTTTTAAATATTTTCAAACTTTCGAAAATTCCCCCTGAAAACGGATCAGACAATAGTTTCAAGTTGACCAAATGCATAAGTGTACATTAAATGATGCTCAATAGCTAGTAGATATATTTGTGTTTTAAAATACAACTGACATAGAGGGATGGTAATGATGCTATGTGGATAAATTGATCGGTTTTCAAGCGCTAAATTGACAGCGCGTCATCACTACGATGGCTTCCATTTTTACGATTATAATCAAAGCGATGTAAGCGCTGTAGGCAGTTAACCAAAAACCAAGGCAAACGTACTAAAGTAATTATGAAAACTGTGGCAGTGTTGCTTCAATTTTTTTAAGATTTGAAAGAACAAACATTAAACATTCGTATATTGTACATTTATGTTCATTAAATGAATTGATTATTAAGGCAAATTAATTAATATTTCATCAAGGTTTTCAAAAGCAACTCATATATCAATGTAAATGACCCCCATCTTCACCCCCAAGTGCATGATGTTACTCCATACCAAGTTTGGAATAAAATGACAGGTGATTATAAAACAGTTGGTCAAACATTCTTAGGCTTTACACTGCTTGAAAGATTTATATGTTTTCTTTAAAATGGGCCATAAATGAAAATTATTATAGGCCCAGAAATAATTGAATAAATAATCAAAGTAAATTCAATTAACCTAGACTCATTTTTTGCATCAATAAAATTTTATAATAAACAAGAAATAATTGTAACAGGATGCCATTAGGAAGTCTCCCAAACAAAGCCCCCATATTTCGTCATTCCCATGGTCTCCTGACATTGGGCAAAGTCCAGTTCATATTAGTTTGGTCTAGTAAAGTGATATGCATATGTACATGTGACACCTACGAGACTGACCCTGTATGTCATTCAAATCTTTTTGAAATGATGAACAGGAATAAATATGGTTTAGGTGTGGGTATCTCGACCGTTTACAAGTTCTCAAACAGGAGGGGGTGGGGTGTCCCCATGGACACCCCCTATATTTCATTTGATTTGTTTTATTGTCCCATACATGAATATATATGGTTTAGGGGTGGGGATCTCGACCATTTCAAAGTTTTCAAACAGGAGGGGGTGGGGTGACCCGAGGAACTCTCCATATATATTTCTTTTGATTTGTTATATTGTCCCATACATGAATATATATGGTTAAGGGGTGGGGATCTTGACTGTTTACAAGTTCTCAAACAGGAGGGGGTGGGGTGACCCCAGGGAATCCCCCTATATTTCATTTGATTTGTTATATTGTCCCATACATGAATACATATGGTTTAGGGGTGGGGATCTCGACCATTTCCAAGTTTTCAAACAGGATGGGGTGGGGTGACCCGAGGAACTCCCCATATATTTCATTTGATTTGTTATATTGTCCCATACATGAATATATATGGTTTAGGGGTAGGGATCTTGACTGTTTACAAGTTCTCAAACAGGAGGGGGTGGGGTGTCCCGAGGGACTCCCCCTATGTTTCATTTGATTTGTTTTATTGTCCCATACATGAATGTTTATGGTTCAGGGGTGGGGATCTCAACCATTTCCAAGTTCTCAAACAGGAGGGGAATGGGGTGACCCCAGGGACTCCCCATATATTTCATTTGATTTGTTATATTGTCCCATACATGAATATATATGGTTTAGGGGTGGGGATCTCGACTGTTTACAAGTTCTCAAACAGGAGGGGGTAGGGTGACCCGAGGAACTCTCCATATATTTCATTTGATTTGTTTTATTGTCCCATACATGAATATATATGGTTAAGGGGTGGGGATCGCGACCATTTCCAAGTTCTCAAACAGGAGGGGGTGGGACAACACCGGGGACTCCCCCAAATTATTTTCATTTGATTTCTTTTATTGTCCCTTACAAGTATATATATTGTTTAGGGGTGGGGATCGCGACGGTTTACAAGATAAATGTACATTTTAAAATTGAATGGGGTTGGGATGACCCCCAGGGACTTACCCTATATTGTGGTTGATTTTTTTTATTGTCCTGTTCTCATTACTGAAGACTGCATGTGACTATCACTTACTGTTTTCAAGAAATAGTCATTTGAAAATTTAAAAAAATAAAATCCCATAGGGTTCTATAGTAAACCCCTCCCTTCTTCAGGCCCCTCCAAATACCCCTAAATAGACCCCAATGCACAAACAAAAGATTAATGGCTCCGCTAGACATGTTAGTCTAATATTTTATGAAACCCCAAGTATATCTGACAAACGGTCAAAGTTGTCTTCTTAGACGGTTTGAGTTGATTCGGTCCGACTTGTCTCGGGGACGAGTTGTCCACATTACTTAAAACATCCCATCGACGTCGATTTCCGCGTCTGTTCCATGACCTCGTTTCATTCATAAAATAACAACCACCTTATTTGGCAAGATAAGTTAAAAATTACCGCCCACTTATATAACTTTATTTCCTTTATCATAGAGATTTGTTGTACATGAACAATATTCCTGCGCATTTTGCCATTTGGGAAATATAAACGACTTGTAATTACCGATTTTCGGCGATGAAATATTTCATACAATTGTTCTTTGACATCGTAGCCAAAAGCACAGGGGATAATAAACTACGTACGGAATTCTATTGAGCACTACTTCCTATGTGCAACTTCAACAGTTTTGGGTAGTTCGACGATCATTTAAGGTTTTTCTGGTCATATTTTTTGTATTCCAGAAATAAAAGTATTTAAAAAAATGTCCAATTAGTTATAAATAACATAATAGCCAGCTAGATAATAACAATGGCCCGTATTTCAGCATTTATTGATTAGAACACAAATCTAGGGTGCTCGCATAAGGCAGCTTAACTGCCTAAAAATAAGGTGGTGTAATAGGGAGATAATTTTGACGAAGTAGAATCCTGACTGAAGTTACAAAGCTTGTTTTGCATTTGAAATTCAGTTGTCTTTTAGGGTTAAATTGTGTTATTACATTTACCCTACATCCTTGTTTATTCAGATTTGAAGTATGATGAATCATAGTTATTCTAACAAAGAAAAATACTGTCTCTTGCTATGCTTTGAGCTTGAATTCTTTCCAAATACAGTGTATTCGTTTATATTTGTAGGTACCAGTTTTCATGTATTAAGAAAAAAATGCCATTTTCTAGGATACTTGCTTTCCTAGTTTTTTCAAATTTTGCATACAAGTGGTGGCAGGAGAGGGTGTCATCCCAAATTCCCCAAAAAATAAAGCATTCATTCCCGGAAACCAAAAAATGAATCTACAATTCCCGAATCCTGATAATGTAAAATCCAAAATTCCTGCCGAAATAAAGGCCCAATCCAGAATTCCCACAAAAACAAAAGCCTAATCCTGACATTCCAAAAAGGTTCTTCCTCCCCTCATACAAGATTAAAGGAAATTGTAGACTTCTTTGATTAATTAAAGTTCGTATTGGTTCTTCGCAAATAATAATAATGATTTCACAGTAACAATACAACAGTATAAAACTGACTTACCTAACATCCTTGTCTTCATCATTAAAAGTTTTATCTAGAATTAACTCTGTATACACCTGTGTATCTTCTCCGCTAACTTTTAACATCTCTTTAACACCTGAGATCCCAGTCATTCTCAAATGAGAACTTGAATCTATTAATGCTGACTTTATTATGGTTGATAACTCAGGTATGTAGGTCAGAAAGACTTTGTGACCTGTATTTAAAACACAAATACAACACAAATCAGGTCAACAAAACTTTAATTTTGTGAATTCTTGTTTTTATTTATTCATTTTATTTATATTCACATATTTCCTTTACGTTAATTTTTTTGACTAGTACAAAAATGTCCTTGATATTTGAAAAGAAGAAAATTCGGTAATCATCTGTTTATTGTTATTTACCTAGGCAACGTCGAGTAGTGTGATATGAAATTATCACAAAATTCAAATGAAAATTTGAGAAAATAGCAATAATATAAAAACACAGTTGCCAGTCGCAATATAACGATTTTTGTTTTGAGCGAGTCCAAAAAGGCTTCAAATTTCAAACATAACAGGGATGATGAGTCTTGGCCAAGCATATTTGAACTCATACAAGACATGACATGCAATTTTACAAAGAGCAGCGCAAAGTGATACAGAGAAAAGGATCATTTATTGTATCAAGGTAAACAGTATTTTATCTACAACAGTTTATAGTTCAATCTCTTCAAAATCATCTTTCACAAAAAATGTTTTTTGAAAAACTTTCTGACATGAATTACATTCAAAACTGTAACTTACACTGCCCTTGACTGTAGCCGCCGACAACTCTAACAAATCGACTGATCATTTCTAGCACTAGCTTTCTCTGTGAATTCTGTAAATGCATTTTATAATATAAAAAAATCAGACTTGTTAAAGTAATTCTAAAATATGAATAGTGTTATTAGTAAGATTTAATATCAAAGAAAGCAAAAATCAATTCTTAGTCTTAAAACTAGATTAGAACTGTTAACTATGTGAATCATCATCAATTAGTTTTAAACCAAAATTATTTTTGATTTGGTCTGACACAATTTCAATAATTTACCAGCCTACCAGTAGTGGCCTAACTGAAAGCAAAAAAGATCATGGTACTTCAGGTTAACAAATATGTAAAAATTTCAGTTTAAAGAAGAGACCAAGAGATAATTCCAACATATTTAGTGAATGTTACATAGTCTTTAGAGAAGTGACGTCAGTCAAGATAAAATTGAGAATGGAAATGGGGAATCTGTCAAAGAGACAACAACCCGACCATAGAGCAGACAACAGCCGAAGGCCACCAATGGGTCTTCAATGCAGCAAGAAACTCCCGCACCCGAAGGCGTCCTTCAGCTGGCCCATAAACAAATATGTATACTAGTTCAGTGATAATGAACTTCATACTAAACTCCAAATTATACACAGGAAACTAAAATTAAAAATGATACAAGACTAACAAAGGCCAGAGGCTCCTGACTTGGGACAGGCGCAAAAATGCGGCGGGGTTAAACATGTTTTTTGAGATCTCAACCCTCCCCCTATACATCTAGCCAATGTAGAAAAAACAAACGCACAACAGTACGTACAGTAAAACTCAGTATAAGAGAAGTCCGAGTCCGATGTCAGAATAGGAAACAAAAGAAAATAAACAAAATGACAATAATACATAAATAACAACAGACTACTAGCAGTTACTGACATGCCAGCTCCAGACCTCAATTAAACTGATTAAAAGATTATGTCTTCATCATATGAATATCAGGCACAATCCCTCCTGTTAGGGTTTAGTATTATACCGTCATAAAATATATGAGAAGAACATAACCCGTGTCATGCCAACAACTGGTTTTAGAAAAAATGTGTTTAATTCCAATGCAAAGACCCTATAAGTGAATTAATATTAAAGCCAAAATATGCAATCTTTAATGACCTGACAACAGCATCATAACTATATCCCTTCTTAATAAGTCTGTTTAAAGGTTTTGTTAAAAGATTGGATGTGAAATACCCGAACGTATAAGATATCTGCATGTTGAGTTATATTTACGAATGATGTCCTTATACCGATGATAAAATTTAGTAAATGTTTTGACTAGTTTATGATATCGAAAACCCTGGTGTAATAATTTTTCAGTAATACATAAATTTCTCTCGCTAAAATCAAATACGTTGTTACATACACGAGTGAATCGTACAAGTTGAGATATATAAACACCATAAGATGGTGACAAGGGAACGTCACCATCTAAAAATGGATAATTAACGATAGGAAATGAAAAATCATCTCTTTTATCATAAATTCAAGATGCATGTTTTTGTCATGGAAGACAATTGTATATGAAATAGAATAGACATCCATGAATAAACTGTCATGCTACATTTCAATAATACATACTCTTTAATCTTATTTAATCTTCAAGTTCTATTATAAAATTGAAACATACAAAGTAAACATAATTTTAATATTCATGATATTCAAAAGGTTTTGCAGTCAAAAGGTCAGAGGAGAAAATGGGGATAGATTTTTTTTGTAAGGGAATTTTTAAAATCAACATTAAATTTGATAACGAAATGAAGTCAACAAATTAAGAGCTGGGAGTCAAATAATTTTTAGTACATTTGATAGATTGCTTTATCAACTATTAATAACTGAGATAGTGTGAAAAGCAGGCAGAACAACATTTGGAAAACCATGTATACTTACAACAGATGATTTATTATAGAGACCAATCAGATTAGGTATAACATCTTGTAAGACTTGACAACAGGCTGAATCTGATCCCTCCCCACAGGATACCAGCAGACGACAAACTGGTACCAGTAATCTGTTGTCCTCTCCTGTCATATATCTTTTGCAATCTAAAAACATTAAATCACTTGAAAATAAATATTCAAATCAAGGTTATCACCCTTATTTATGCTTACTTGTTCAGGAAATTGCTAAAAAATCAGACAATCACTTTTTTTAACACTTATGTAAGAAAAAGTTTTTCAGAAAACATAAGTTTTATCCACACTATAATATTATTCAAAAGGAAGTTCATTCAAGATGTGACTCAAAACACTCACAGTCAACAATAAAATACAGTGGCGTAGCAGGGCCATTTTTAAGTGTACAACCAAACCTCGGCTAGGAGTCTGAAGGCCCCCAGCAGCCCCAGGGAAGAGGACCTCTGGGTAGGGGGCGAAAACCTTGGAAGCTAACCCGTTATCGTGAAAAAGATACCATTTCTGTCATTCAAAATTTATTAATAGCAACATACTTGGTCGGTTGAGAACAAAACTTTACTACATAAGAGATGATTTCAGCTTCTCAGTTGTGAACATTTCATTTCTATGTAGCAACATTCCAGTAGAACCTGCATGTGGAGTATATATCTCCCAGTTGATACGATATTTCAGAACTTGCATTTCCCATCATGATTTCCTTAAATGAGGTTGCTACTTACAAGGAAGCTAATAAACCAAGAGTTCCAAGTGGTGAAGTTGAAAGCATCCCTTCGAAAATTTTAAGATCGCTATCACGAGTTGGTTGACTGTTTCACAGATGACATCGGATATGTTCCATTGTAGTAACACAATTCCGTCCTCTCTTCCTCAAATTTGACCTACAGATTTAGACTTATCAACTGGTTTTTACTTACGTGAGCAACACGATGGGTGCCACATGTGGAACAGGATCTGCTTTCTCTTCTGGAGCACCTGAGATCACCCCACGGTTTTAGGTGGGGTTCGTTTTGCCTAGTCTTTAGATTTCTATGTTGTCTTTTATGTACATGCACTGTTTTTTTTACTTTTTGTCGTTTTTTGTCTTTTGAAATGGCATTGTCAGTTTGTTTTCAACTGATGAGTTTGAATATCCCTTTGGTATCTTTCGCCCTCTATTTTAGAGTTTGATTTGGGTTTTTTCATGTTGATTTGGAGTCTAATGGTCCTTTGTTTCAGAGAAAACTGTCCAAACCAGTTACTTTAGAATGTGTTTAAAAGGAGATGTGCGGTAAACCAATCAATCGACAAAAAAATCAAAACTTTATAAAAAAAGTGAAAAATGCAAGTCTGTTGTTCTATTAATTTTTTTAACTTTATATAATTTTCACACCTTTTTAGGGGAAAATTTCGTAAATGGACACATGAAATAATTAATTTTAATAGATGGTCAGGTGTAACATAAAAATGCAAGCCACACATATTGTATCTAAGCAGATACTAAATTGCTTTAACCAATAGTAATCTGAGTAGAATATTCACACTTCAGTAGATTCAAAGTTTGACAGAAAATGAACAAATATATAATATGATACCATTTGATTAAAAAGTAAATTTCGTCACTTTCATCTTCAATTACGAGTCATCAAAGAAAGCATTACAATTGATCGTATGCTTTAAACAGTTCCTTAATTTATTTGGACCAAAATATTTTTCCCTCCAAAATTCATGTGCACTCCCGTGCGTTTTGACATAAAAGCAGCTATGCGCCTGAAATATTTCCACTTTGTTCTCAACAATAAAATGAATGTGATTTACATACCTTGTAAAATTTCAGAGATATAATTATAAACTGGACCATCTGGACCTGCCAAAAGGCTCTGTAATATAAACATTAAATCTCAGCTATATTTTGCCGTGTAACTTTTAAGATATTTTTTTTCCATTTCTAATAAACTTATCAAAGATACCAAGGTAATAATTTGTTATGTCAGACCAAGTACATCTACAAAAACAATCTGACATGAAGAAAGTTCAAAAGGATTATTCAATAAAAAATGAGTGATAATACTTAACAAAAAAGAAACAATTTTGATCTTTTATTGATGTGATCTATAGATTAATAAAAATGTTCCTCTTAGGACCAAACAGTTTTATATCACAGATCTATCTGACAGGTATGTAGAATTTCTAACTTGCTAAAATGACAGTTTAATTACTCACACCATCCAATGCCCAATATCAATAAACAATCAAAATGTTAACAGAATGATGCATTTTTCAATCTATATTTACATACAAAAAATATCAATGTATAGTTACTAAAATTCACAATGGGTTCTGCAGAACCATTTTATATGTCTGAAATTGTTGCTGTCCGAGTAAAGAGTGTAATGTTGACTCCCCAAAACTATGTCCATTTATAAACAAATCTATGAAAATAAAAAAACAACAAAAAATTTTCTTCTGATACTATGTCGTAATTATGAAGTAGCTTCTGTCTATGTTTCATTATTCCATGAAGGTTTGACATAGTTATTGATTTAAAAAACTCTTTCCCCAAACTATGTATTTATGTCAATTGAAAAAAACGTTGTCCATTTATCAGTTGGAAAAATGAGAAGAAACAAGAATGTGTCCATATTACACGGATGCCCCACTTGCACTATAATCTTCTATGTTCAGTGGACCGTAAAATTGGGGTCAAAACTCTAATTTGGCATTAAATTTAGAAAGATCATATCATAGGGAACATGTGTACTAAGTTTCAAGTTGATTGGACTCCAACTTCATCAAAAACTATCTTGACCAAAAACTTTAACCTGAAGCGGGACGGATGGACGAACGAACGGAAAGATGGACGGACGAATGAACGGACACACAGACCGAAAAACATAATGCCCCTCTATTATCGTAGGTGGGGCATAAAAAAGATCAAAACCTTACTCCAGATGCTATCTCTTGATCATTAAGAAACTTTGGTTCAAGTTTCATAAAATTCTATGAAGGTTGAAAAAAAATCTATGTCTTAACCACCTACATTCTATACTGTAACATAATGTTAAATGCAAAATGAAATATTAATCCATTTACCAGTAAAATACAGAAAGATCAAAAAGATCAAAAACAAAATAATTTGCTCTTGATATTGTCTTTTTTTATCATGAAAATGCTTCTATCCAAGTTCAATAAAACACCATTAAGGTTTGACAAAGTTATTGTTGTCTAAAAAAAACTTCAACCACAGACTGAACTTGACTATTGATGATGCCCACTAAAGAATGTAGGGTCGCTATGTATTGCTTCATCCACTTTCTTTTCAGGCGTGACAAAAATGATCAAATCTAATTGTTATAGATATTCTTTTTGACAAACCTTGGAAAGTGTCCGAAACATCCAATTGAGGGCCTCTAAAGCCGCCTGTTCTATTGCTTGGTTACCTGAGCAAAATATCTACAATACAAACCTTAGACAGTGTCAGGACAATCCCACGGAGGGCCTCTAATGCTGCCTGTTCTATTGCTTGGTTACCTGAGCTAAATATCTACAATACAAACCTTAGAAAGTGTCTGGACAATCCCACGGAGGGCCTCTAATGCTGCCTGTTCTATTGCTTGGTTACCTGAGCTAAATATCTACAATACAAACCTTAGAAAGTGTCAGGACAATCCCACGGAGGGCCTCTAATGCTGCCTGTTCTATTGCTTGGTTACCTGAGCTAAATATCTACAATACAAACCTTAGAAAGTGTCAGGACAATCCCACGGAGGGCCTCTAATGCTGCCTGTTCTATTGCTTGGTTACCTGAGCTAAACATCTACAATACAAAAGAAATGCTAGTTTTGACAGAAACATGATACAGTTATGATGTAATCTGATATCATACCTGTACTCTTCCTTCTTGAAATGTACGCAATTGTCTTTGTCAAGATATGAAGAAATGTAAATATAACAAAAGAATCTGTGTCCATAGGACTGTTGAAACTCTGTCCCACTTGCACTATCACATTTCCATGTTGAGTGAAACATGAAATCTTGGTCAAAACCCTAATTTGGCATATACGTTAAACAGTTAACTTAGTAATGAACATGTGAACTAAAGTTCAAGTTAATTTGACCATAAACTGTGAAATATGAAATCTGAGTAAAAACACATTATCTTTTAAACAGTTCACTTCATAATGAACATGTGTACTAAATTTCATGTTGATGTAAATTAACGTAAATTAATCTCATACAGGAAGAAGAGACACATGGACACAGAGATGTGAAAACATAATCATGATAATATCCCTATACTATTGTTGGCCAGATATAAAAATGAAAATAGGATGAAAAAGCTTACAATTTCAGGATTTGTACTAATTTGTTACTTCAAAAAGTAAATACATGGATTCAAGAGTTTATTTTCTATATATATTTCACAAACAGTCCAAGGGAGATCTTTGTCATATTCTAACTGCTTTATATATTGTGGCAAGTAATACAAAAGTGGCAACACCCAACCAATGCCTCATCAGAAACATTCCAGCCAAATTTGATTTTAACTGGTTGATAACTTCAGCATTAGAAGAATTTATTTTAATGAAAAAGACAAAGAAGGAATTCTGTATGTATGTGCCTGTCCCAAGTCAGGAGCCTGTAATTCAGTGGTTGTCGTTTGTTTATGTGTTACATATTTGTTTTTTGTTTATTTTTTGTACATTAATTAGGCCGTTAGTTTTCTCGTTTGAATTGTTTTACATTGTCATTTCGGGGCCTTTTATAGCTGACTGTGCGGTATGGGCTTTGCTCATTGTTGAAGGCCGTACAGTGGCCTATAGTTTTTAATTTCTGTGTCATTTGGTCTCTTGTGGAGAGTTGTCTCTTTGGCAATCATACAACATCTTCTTTTTTATATAAAGAACCGTAATCTGTTTTCATAACTACAGTAATAATATTTCTCATAGAACTTACCTCACTTTTGATACAGTTATATAAAGATGATTGAAACTCTTTTAGTGGTTTTATTCCATACAACTCAACACATTCAATCTAAATAAAACAAGAGAAATCAAAATATCAATTCACTTTCCAAATTGAAATTCTTTGGGAAAATACAAAAAAAAAAATCACCAACATGTTTATAAGTTATAATACGGTAGACAATGTAGAAACATTAAATTTGTTGTAACCAGTCAAATACATAACAGATGTTATTTTTTTTTTCTTTATTACTAGTGATCTTTTCCATAGCCCTTAAATATATGCATGGACTATATGGTTTTGCTTTTTCAGACTTTTAAGTACGGTTTTACAATAAATCTGGTTGGAGATGTTTTAACTTATGTCATCACAAAAGACCCTACTATAACATCCATTATCGGTGTTCCCACTGTCTGTATCACTCTGCTCAGCTCTTCATAAAATTGCTTATCACGGCTTTATGACAACAAATAAGTTAACCCTGCCTGAATAAGTTTGACCCGGAAATATCACCGTAGTCATAATGAGTGAACCGACATTGACAAGTTTGACCCAAAAAACTAAAGAACTGGTTTTCTTTTTCTAATTCATGAAAGAAAGAAATAATGCATTACTATAGCTTGAAAAAATGTATAAAATAAAAATAAAAATATAAATTTTTTTCTCATCAAACATATAATTGAATACGGCCGTTACAAAAGCTAATTGCTATGTATAATAAAGAAATAGTATTGCACAAATCCCAATTAACAATATGTTAAAAAAAATCATCTTAAGCTAAGATGATACATGAAGCATTCCAAGATATACAGTGATATCAATATTATAAATATGAGAAATTTGTAAGCTGCAGGATCTAAAATGATATTCATACCAAAGTCTGTAAGCTATCTAACTTAGCACTCTGTACATCAGATGTTAGTTTCTCTAACAGTAAAGGGTAGGTATATCCAGCAAACTTTTCTGTAGCACTAAGACATCCACGTAAACCTTTGATAAGGTCATCTCTAGTTATCTTATAGTTATCATTTGGTGGCTGTAATGACAAAGAATAATAAAAGTATTGATTAGATATAAGAAGATGTGGTATGAGTGCCAATGAGACAACTCTCCATCCAGGTCACAATTTGTAAAAGTAAACCATTATAGGTCAAAGTACGGCCTTCAACATGGAGCCTTGGCTCACAACGAACAGCAAGCTTTAAAGGGCTTGTCTTCTTTCCTTATAACTCTAACTTCTTTTTCCTGTTTAAATTGACAAGCGTGTGCATGTTAACAAAAGCTTACAAGAGCCTATTCTTCCTATTTTGCTTTTAAAACCTCTTAGTAGCAAATTGTTTGTTTATACCATTGTTACTTCAGTGAAAAATGTACATACTTCTAAAAGATGTGCACTTTTTCTACGACACGAGTCAAGCTCCTTACAACATGTACAAGAAACCTAAATATTGTGATGTGTGATTTGTGGTTCTTTCTTCATGGTAAAAGTGAACAAAATCATTTGGTTGTCATATTACACGAATATAATAAAAATTCTAGTTTAAATACAGAGAAAAGCATTTCTGTCATAACATGTAATATTTTTAGAATAATACAATTTTGTTTAAGTATCTAATATTAAGTGTCAAATTGGAAGTTATTTTCATAACCTAATCCTATAATTTGCTAAACTTCATTTCTTTACATTTTTAGTACTCAATTGTATTCACATATATAATTTTGTTCTCAACTGGTCCCCGGCTTAAATACAAATTTTGGGTCATTCGTTCTTGCTCGGTGTAGAGATGGCCATGGGGTCGGCGCTGTGTGGTAAAGGCGGATCCGGGACAATTATGACGTCACATACAAGATGCCATTTTTTTGTACTTCAGGGGTTCTAATTTTGTATACTTTGTCCTGATGACGCCGATCTAATCGGCGAAACATGTCGACAATAAAAGATGCAGTTTACTTAAGTGTTGTTGTCAATGTAGCGGTATTTGATTTTTTATCTGACAATCCTGCATACCATCTGGTATCCACTTCAGGGAACTCTACCAGCACAAAACATAGGATGCGTTGGTTCAGCAGCTCTTTATTTATCTTGTAATTAAAGTAAAATATCCTTTCATTTTCTATTTTCTATTGTAAGAAATGCTTAGATCTTTAAAATTTCAATTAAAAAAACTCCTGATAGACAAACCAACAGCACACTTACATAGGTAAAAAATAAATATACTTATTTACAGGTATAATGATTGACCAATATCAAGTATAAGTCCATCAGCAAGGTTAGTTGAATGAATTTAGTGTGAAATCAGGTACATATAATGTTATACATGAAATAGTATATTATATAACAGTCAGGGGACTTACTTAAATGAGTGATTTTCTAAATCACTGATTCAAGTAACATTATGTCCATAAAGGTTTGAAGTAAGAGTTGTCTTTCTTTAATAATCACCTATTTAAGTAGTACAAATTAATCACTAGACTAAGTGATTTAATTTTATTGTAGCTTTAAATATAGAATACTAATGATCCAGGGACTTATTATGTTGCTAAAATTATCAGAACTAACATCTGTGTTGATAGGATGACCGGGTCATGTCAGGTGATGACCTTGTACTAAATCTAGGATAATGACATAAAAATCACTTGTTTAAGTATCATACCTCAATTTCCTTCCAAAAAATCACTTCTTTAAGTATCATTATTTTAGTAACCCCCACTAATTTCAACACCCCCGAACAGTGATATTTTGATCGTGAACAGTAGAATTTTATTACATAATCTATAAGATGAAACCTTGAATTTTACAGGAAAAATACTCCCACTGCTGGGAAAAATCTGTTAAGAAAGTATCAGTTCATTATGTTAAGCCATTTTCATAGCATTTTTTCAACTAAAATAGAATTTGCACCTAAATGATTGCATCAAAGGCATAAACCTTGTTGCTTAAAAGAAGCAAAAAGTTCATTTTTTTTCAATTTTACTAATGAAAAGATATTATCTAAACCTATGTGTTTAAAATTTTGGTAAAACTACAAAATCACAATTTGTGACACAACTTCGAATTTGCTACTTAAATAAGTGATTTAAAAATCACTTATTTCAATAAGTCCCCTGACTGTATAAATATTCCATATCTCAGCCAATAATTACAAAATTTAAATACATACTGGTGTAAAATCAATTGGAAAGTAACAGGATGTAACTTCAAACATTTCCTCCACAAATACACCTGAAATCAGAATCCATGAACAAAGAAGTTTCATTATTATCTTCACAGAATATGTGCAAAATCAGAATCAATAAAAAGCATCTTATCCATATTACTATCCTGCATTTGAAACCTCTCTGGGTAACTTATGGTGGCAACATTTGAAACCTCTCTGGGTAACTTATGGTGGCAACATTTGAAACCTCTCTGGGTAACTTATGGTGGCAACATTTGAAACCTCTCTGGGTAACTTATGGTGGCAACATTTTGAAATTTGATTGGTTTCCTGTGTTGTTTCTTTTGTGATCAGTGAATTCCCTCTAAGAGGGCAATAATGCATTTTTTTAGACAACAGAAAATAAATGAAATAATAATTACCAAAAACAATCAACTGAAAAAAATTTTTTTATTCTTTTGGAATCTTTTTTTCTCTGTCCTAATGTCTTGTCAAGATTTCACAAGTTTTCATGTTATGTTTACAAGCTGTGATGAGCTAATTATTTTTCTGTAGATAGTGTTTTAAACAATAGAAACAAAAGATAGAATTAACTCATAGTTTTTTTAATGGTATTCTAAAAATTAATTATAAGAATTAAATGATTGTATTCTGTTATTTCATAGTTTGTGAAAGCATTGTGAGCACATTTTAGAATGGAGGGCTTTCACACTTCATACATAATGTGCTTCAGTCAACATTTTCACATCCAAATATAATACAAAATAAAGCCTTCAATTCTTAAGTAATTTATTGTAATTTTAGATTTAAACAAAGGCAGGTTTATGATCCAGTATTCTCCTCCTCACCCTTGGCAGATTGAGAAAGAATTTCTAAACCATGAAGTAATGATTTCCCTTGGTCCCATGGCCAGTTGTAACTGGCTGCATCAAATCAAAAAGCACCTTGCAGTGATCATGTGTAAAAATAGAAAATGTAAATAAACAATTGAGAAGTGCAAACTGTGTCAAGAGTCTTTATCACCAAAGCATAAGAAAATACTTAGCGACACTTTTAAAGTATAAATCAACTTATTGAGAACTTGGGTATGTGCCCTTGCCAACAATGAAAGGTCACCATATATCGGCAGTTTCTGCATCACAAAAATGCACTAGATGTAGCCATATTTTACACCTCCAATCTAAAGATACTACAAGTGCTCTCATTGGTAAAGATTGATGTAGCAGTAGTGGGCATGACTTCTATCTGTCTCCAGATGGCACAGCACTATATTTAACAAGAGTGCACACGTTGAAATGTCTCCCCTGCTTTACTGATAATTGATTTTATGTTGAAAGTCTTAAAGATAAAGGTTTTACTAAAAACATCAAAGAAACTTAACATTTTTAAAGATCAATGACAATGAGGTCTAGGTCAGATAAATCCTGTCTGACAGAGATATACACTTTACAATTTTTTTATTCACCAAATATAATTGACCTATTGCTTATGGTAACTGAAATACAGACCAAAACACAAAAACATAACATTGACCAATAAACCATGAAGATGAGATCAAGGTCAGATTATACCTGCCAGACAGACATGTGCACCTAACAATTATTCCATTCACCAAATACAGTTGACATATTGCAAAATAGTACTTGAAAAACAGACCTAACCATAAAAACTTAACACTGACCAATGAACCACAAATGAACCATGAAAATGAGGTCAAGGTCAGATGATACCTGCCAGACATACATGTACACCTTACAATCATTCAATATACCAAATATAGTTGACCTAATGCTTATAGTACTTGAAAAACAGACCAAAACACAAAAACTTAACATTGACCAATGGACCATGAAAATGAGGTCAAGGTCAGATGGAACCTACCAGACTGACATGTACCCATTACAGTCATTCCATACACCACATATAGTTGACCTACTGCTTGTAATATTTGAGAAACAGACCTAATCACATATCTTTAACCTTGATCACTGATCGATGACATGAGATTGAGGTCAGGTGACCCCTGTCTGACGGACATGAATATGTTGCAAGGAACCCATATACTGTGGATTCATTATTATTCGTGGGATATCAATTTTCGTGGATTTTGTGGATAAAGGGGAACCACGAATTCAAATGTTCAACGAAATACAATTGTTCTATAGGCATGTATGCAGACTTTGGCAAAACCACGAAATTTAATGTCCACAAAATGCAATGTTTACTGAATCCACGAAAATTGATACCCATGAAAATAAATGAATCCACAGTACCAAAGATACCGGTAGTTATCCTATTACTCATAATAAGTGAGAAATTCTCATGACAAATAAATGGAGAATGTGTCCCCATGGACACAGATGATGCCCCCGCTTGCATACAACATTATACAGGGACATAACTCAAGAACGATAAAAGTGACGCTACCCAAATTTGTACTTGATCTGAGTTTTAAGGTAATAAGTACTGTGAATAAGTTTCATAACAATTGGTTGAGGCAAACTTAAGTTACAGAACGGAAACTAAAATTTTTGCAATTTTTCGATTTATAAAGGGGCATAACTCGATAATGATTAAAGTAACGCCACCAAAATTCAAACTTGATCTGTGTTTTATGGTAATTATCATTGTGTATATGTTTCATAAAATTTGGTTGAGGCAAACTTAAGTTAGAGAACAGAAACTAAAAATTTTGCAATTTTTCCATTTATGAAGGGGCATTACTCTAGAACGGTTAGAGCGACGCCACCAAAATTCAATCTTGATCTGTATTTTTGTGGTAATAAGCATTGTGTATAAGTTTCACAACATTTGGTTGAGGCAAACTTAAGTTAGAGAACGGAAACTAAAATTTTTGTAATTTTTCCATTTATAAAGGGGCATAACTCTAGAACGGTTAGAGTGATGCCACCAAAATTCAAACTTGATCTGTATTTGGTGGTAATAAGCATTGTGTATAAGTTTCATAACAATTGGTAGAGGCAAACTTAAGTTAGAGAACGGAAACTAAAATTTTGCAATTTTTCCATTTATAAAGGGCATAACTCTAGAACGATTAAAGTGACACCACCAAAATTCAAACTTGATCTGTGTTTTGTGGTAATTAGCATTGTGTATAAGTTTCATAACATTTGGTTGAGGCAAACTTAAGTTAGAGAACGAAAACCAATTTTGGGACGTACAGACGGACAAGGGTAAAACTTAATGCCCCCTCCGCTACGGCGGGGGCATAAAAACTTAAAATTTGTTTCAAACAGTCGATGAACCATGAAAATGAGACCAAGTACATTGGACATATGACAGACAGTAACTTCGTAACATAAGGTATCTGCATACAAGATTTGAAGCATACATATCTTCTACCTTTTGAAATATAAAGCTTTATACAAAAAGTTTACGCCGCCGCCAGATATTTATGTCTCACAAACTACAACTTTCGTCACACCCGAGACAAAAAAGTCTGTCTTAATCTGCCAAGGATGGAGAGGAGGGTACCAAATATTAACCCTTGCTTAGCAAGGATGGGTTTATACAGGACTATTTTCATAATCGTACTTTTATTGGAAAAAGTTGGAAAATCATTGCTTATACCTAAATCACTTAATTTGGCAGGTTTGGTGATCTAAGTGAGTATTACAAAATGTACCATTTAGAACACTATTTCATATCAGTAAGTGATATGATTCAGGTCTTAGGAATGTTTATATTCACTGCACTGAGTAAGAATATAATACACACAAAATAATAAAAGACAAACCTAATGAGAAATTAAGAATAATAGTTCTTGCGCACTGAAAACAGGTCATTAAATTTCTTGGATCTTTTTCTGTGTCCATTACTTGTATAAATCCTAACACAAAGTCCGCTTCCATCTTTTTCAGTTCTGCAAAAAACATTAAAATGTGTCTTTAAAAAAATACACCAGAAGAGTAGGAAATTCACTTTCCATTTTCAAGTAACAGCAAAAAGTATGTAGAAAGTACATGGTTCAACTTAATATTATCCCTTGTATTGATTTCACTAGGTATGATCCTAATGGTAGTTTCTATATAACAGGCTATGTAGCAATAGTCTACTTGCATTCCTTTTTTTATTTTAAATCAACAACCAGTTAAACTTTATTCTTGTTAACCCAGTATTGAACTACAGTCTGAACATACTGATGAAATTCCAACTCTGTGCAATACATATCATATTATTTTCAATAAAGGTTTCCATATACCATTATGAAAATAGTGGTAATATATTAAAAATTAAACACAGTTCATTTCTTAAGGATGTTCGCTACTCTGTTTCAAAATAACAAGCTTTTTAAAAGACTGTTATAAATTGACAGTTTATAAATGAAGGAACTAAAAAAGCAGAAAAAAATGAAGGGTGCGTGTGCTTGTTTTCGAGATATAAGCCATTGAAAATTTGGCAGGAAATGATTCTCTACATTTTTCATACATTTAACATTGACACCTTTTTTCTTTCAAAAACAATGAAAAAATAACAAGGATTCTATAATATTTTTAAATATGGCTTTTTAAAACTATATGTAATAAAATTATGAAAAGAAAAGTAGGGATTAGTGGGCAAAATTTTTAATGATACTACATGGATAAAACCAGAGGATTCCGAATATCTGGCAAATAATCTAAAACAAAAGGAGCAAATATCCTTTATGCAGTTGACTCGTTATCTTGAAGTAAGTCGGGCCAGAGAAATATTTCGAGATACCGGTAGTTCAACTCAAACGATACCAGAAGTTTGACAAACCAAGGGATACAACTCTTGCTTAGCTTGGTAAGCCTAAATCAATTCAGATGAAAATAGGTAGGGAATCAATATTCTGGTCTAAGATCAATGTATCAGTATTAAACAGTCTTTTACTATTAGAATAAAATTGTATTGTTTTGTCTCTTAGTTATTTCTTTGTACAGTAACAGGTTTTCCAGTCTTTTTTAGTCAAGTGAAAAATTTCCAATAGATCTTAGAATGATTTTTAAGTTGACAAATGGTTCATTTTCGTATACAAGAGATTTGAGAATATTTAATTTCTTTTCATTTTCTTTTATTTCAATCTTTTTGGACATGAGAAAATACAACTCTGATTGAGTAGTTTTGATCACTCAATCTCACTTTATGCACAACCAAGTTCATTTATGTATGATTACCGTTAATAGATTTTAAAACATTTTAACTAATTTTTCATAATCTATAACAATGTATCCCTAATTATTTATTATGGTGATCAATCAAATCTTAGGTAAACACTTATTGGAAAAGAATGTCATACATCAGTACAGTAGGCAATTACAGGAAATTTAATTACAGGTGAATTGTCAGATTAACTCGTCAATCCATTTAAATCCTCAAGGTCATGTTTAGATATGTGTATTAGTTTGAGACAAAAAATGCTATTTAAATGCTTTCATTCACCTTGGGACTGTATATTTAATTCGAGTCAACTGAAATTTCCGACTCATCCAATTTCGACTGATCAGGAGTCGAAATACATATATTCATATGGAACAAAGTTCAGGACCACGGGCAAATTTCGACTCATCCAAATTTTCTAGTCAACCGAGTTTGAGAAAACGAGAGTTAACTATAATCAAATATAAAATGCATAATGTCCAGTAGCAAACATAACAAACATATTGTGGATAATAGCACATTACTGTGATACAAACTTCCCTGCTTTGAACTAGATCAACATGCAAAGTCTGACATTTAAAGTGGTAAGTCCTAAGGTAACAGTGTCATCAGCTCAGGCTCACTATTCTGATTCTTAACTGACCAGTCTTTGATCTTACTTTGCAATGTCTTGCAGGAGGTGGAGCAGCACCAAAGACCAAACCTAAAGTATATGGTTTTAACTGGCCGAGCATTTATTCAAATACTTTCAACACTATAGGCAAGCTAACTATCATTTGACTGTCAGTAAATATGTATGAATCTAGTTAATATTCCTGTATGATGAACTTTCATTTCAACTATATGCATATTTTTTTATTAACTTGCCTTCCATTCTTGTATCAAGAAATCTTGCTATCAATGTATAAACACTACATCTGTCTGACTGAGATAAGGATTGATTCTGTACATTCTGGAAGATAATTCTACAAATCTTGCTGGCTAGACCATCTGGAAAATTCTTACATCCACTCTAAATATAAAGATAAAAAAGCATTTAATCATGATAATAGCTCATTTTGCCAATTTGTCAAAATAAACTTAATAACAAAACATTTGCTGAAATAGATACCTAAGGAATCACATCATTCAAATAACAAAAATCAAATTCCAATTATTTTTTAAAGTTAGGAGATATGGTATGAATGAAAGAGACAACTGAGATAATCCAGCAAGACCTTCCCATGTCCTTACTAAAATTGGTCCAAAGCAGATAATCCCATATCCCTGTAAAACACAGATCTATACTCAACATCCAATATACTTATAAATATAACATTTATCAAAACATTATCAATAAAGAGCTGCACCATGAGCGCATGATACGCCCGTCGCTTTTTCAAAGAATAAAGTATCATCACTCCTCTATGTCATATCAGAAATTTATAAAAAAAACTAAAGGGAGGTTATTTTAATAAATATAAACCAGTCACCAAAGTTTAATGAAAACTGCTCAAAGCACTTTTGAGTCATGGTCTGAAAACTGGAAAATCCCCCTTTTTTATTGAATAAAACCCATAACTCGGAAACGTAAAATCTAAAATTTAAAAAAATCGAAAGGGAGCTCACGTCAATAGATATAAACAGTTCACCAAAGTTTAATGAAAACTGCTCAAAGAGTTTTTGAGTTATTGTCTGACATGTTGACAACTGACGAACATACGGATGGACGGAGGGACGGACAACGGTATACCATAATATGTCCCATAAAAGGGTGTGTAAAAACCAGACTATTTACCATTAGAACATTTCATATGCACCTATAAATATGGGACAATATTGAATTTGAAGATCTCTGATTTTTACCTAAAACCCTATGTAACCAATATATGACCAAATAAACTACATCGCCGAGCGCAGGATATGACCGCAGAGGTCCAACCCTGAATAGTTGGGGCAAAAATGAACACAATATTCAAGCTAGATACAGGTCTGAATTTGGATTGTAATTAAATATTTGATACATTATAGGTTTCTGACACAGAATAAATGTGTCAAAGAACTTGAAATTGGTTGTATGATTTGAACTTATATTCAATTGAAGATTTCTTGCTGTTGTGCAATACACTGTGCTGTTGCGCAATACTTAGTAAATCTGTTTTCAGACTATGTACAAAGAATTAGCAAAATAAATTGTGACCCCCAATTTTTTTCTTTGGAAAATTGACAATTTCTGAAATCTTGAGGAAAAAAAAATTGACCCTTCCCCTCCCAAAAAAAATTTTACCCCCCCCCCCCCCCCCCCCCCCCAAAAAAAATAACATTTGCATTTGAAGAGAATTTTCTTTTGAGGAAAAAAAATTGCCCTCCCCCCACCAAAAAAAAAAATTAACCCCCCTCCCCCTCCCTTTCCAAAAACACTAATTTGGAAGAATTTTTCTTTTTGTAAAATGTGGTACAAATTAAGAGACATCCATACACCTAAACACAAGTTATTGTCTGAAAACTAGAAAAATGCTTGTTTTAGACCCTTTTTGGCCCCTAATTCCTGAACCGTTTGGGCAATTACCCGCAAAATGAATCCCAACCTTCTACTTGTGGTATTGAACCTTATGGTACAATTTCAGAGCATTCAAAATTCTTATACACAAATTATTGTCCTGAAACTAGAAAAATGCTTGTTTTGGCCCCTTTTTGGCCCCTAATTCCTAAACGGTTGGGACCATCATCCCCAAATACAATCCCAACCTTCCTTTTGTGGTATTAAACCTTTTGATTAAATTTCATAGAGATCCATACACTTAAACTAAAGTTATTGTTCGGAAACCAAATGTCTTCAGACAATTGGACATAGTGCAAATTTAAGTATTGATTATTTAATTAAACGATTTGTATTGCTAAGATAACAGGCATTCCTAGGACCTGTATATACCCTGAACATGTATTGAACCCCAATGTAATATAATACAAGTACCTAGGAATTGTTAACAACATGTTTTTTAATTTTTTGTTGTTGTTGTTCTATGAGTTGAACACATTTTTTTTTTTTATTTATCATCTCTCTTGTCCATCCTATCCACAGTGTATGTGCATACACATGGTATATAATTAACAGTGTAAAATCAACCACTGCATCAAACCAACATTGTGAAACTACTTACTACATTGTACTTGTACTAAGGTATTTGATTCTAGTCTAATCAAGGATTTGTATAGCAAGTCTTACTATAAAAATCCTTGGTTTAATCATTTTTTGTAATTTGAGTATATTTTTTATTTATTTCTACGACAATAAAATATGAATTTTAAAGTTCCCCCAGAATATAACTTTTTAATAAATAAATTAAAAAATATTTCTATAATGGAGACATAAGAAAATACTTTAAATCAACTGTAACTATTTTTAGCCTTGAAGTCAAAGTAGTATTATTTAAAGATACAAACCAGGAAGAAAATTTGTCATATAAATTTATCTAAAATGGCCTTCTCTCAGTCTGTTATAAGAAGTCAAGCTCCAGCTAAATGTGGAATATGTGATACTGACAGACAAATAAAGTGGAAGTGTATTGACTGTAGTAAATTACTGTGTGATCATTGCAAAGAAAAAGTACATCCAAAATTAAAAGACACAGAGAATCATCAGGTGGTAAACATCAAAGATGTGGGTCAACCTACTGTTGTAGAACTGAACATTAATAAACAATATCAGACTGAACTATCTTCAGTACCTTATATATCTTATTGTGATGATGATTCACTGTGGATATATAATCACATAGATAAAGTATTACAGAGAGTAAAACCTGAAGGAACCAAACTGAACATACTATCCAGCTTTAATACCAAAGTCTATGGTATGGCTGTTACTCAATCAAACAATCTACTGATAGCTACAATGGAAACAAGACTAAAACAAATCAGTAGTAATACGAGTAAACTTTCAGACTCAGTATATAATATGTCACCATTACTTCATACAGCAGTCTATACCACCAGTGACAATAAAGTTCTAGTAGGAGGTCTTAAACAAGAAAGAAGGGCTGTAATACTGATGAATCAGAATGGAGACCATGAGAGAGTGTATGAACATGATCAACATAAACAACCTATATTCACTGTTCCCAGGAGTATCACCAGAACCAGGAATGGGAATATTTATGTGGTGGATGATTTAAGTGATGACAGAGGCAGAGTAGTAGTGTTAGGACAGGGTGGTGATATAATCAATATCTATACAGGAGATACAGAGATCAACAAGGTCATACCGTTCATACCAACAGACATAGTGACAACACCTAGAGACAATGTTATTGTAGCTGATCTGAATACTCATACACTTCATATCCTGAACAATGCTGGCTTGCTGATGACATATTATAAAACAAGTGACATAAACATAAAGTTTCCATATTCTCTGGCATTCTCTCCAACAGGACAACTCTACATAGGATGTAGTAGAACAAAAGGCAGTACAACCAAGGATGCCAAGATATATGAAGTGACCATCTCAGGATGATACAAATTCTTTACTTTTTGAATAATGTTATTGTGCATCAATTTAAAGTTTAGGATTACGGTTTAGAACAGATCATATAAATAGCAAAATAGATTTACAGGGAAAAATTTTAAATTTGTTGGAAAAATATTCTCATAATTTTGTCATGTAACATGTGTAAAAGTCATACTTTCACCTTATTACTTATATTACATCCTTTCAAAAAAATTGTATATTTTTACTTAAAATTGTTATACTTTAATTTAGCCTGACATATTGCTATAAAAGATGAAATTAGGGACAAGGTACAATGAGGTAATTTTGAACCTCTAAAAAAAGCCTAAAAACGAAAATTTGATGCTGAAGTACTGTGATGAAAATTTAGATAAAAGGGTACATGAGGTAAATGATAATGAAACATCAACCTAACAACAGGATGTGTACTGATTGATGTTTAGTCTGAGAAAACATGATTATTTTATTAGTTGTTATTGACTTTGAACTTAAGCTTTCAGTATCAGTGTATACTTGTAGATCAGAACTTTGAGAAGTTCGTCTTTTTTGTTATCAGTCATGATAGATGTATTTGTGCTTTGTGCCAATTTGATGAGTCAGGCCCTATCTAACTGATTTTTACAGTTTTTTTTATGTTGAACTGTTACACCACTGTCCCGAAATTGGGGGAAGATGGAGCACTCACAAATATGTTTCACCCTGCCACATTCTTAAATATGTGCCAGTCCCAAGTCAGGAGCCTGTAATTCAGTGGTTTTCATTGGTTGTTGTATGCTATATATGTTTTCTGGCATAGAACAGGCTGTTAATTTTCTCTTTTGAATTGTTTCACAATTTGCCATTCTGGAGCGTTTAATAGCTTACTGTATGGTATGTTCAATGTTAAAGGACATACAGTGACCTCTAGTCTGATATTTGCTTACATCCACGTCCTTAGATATCTACTGAATAGTTGTCTCATTGGCAATAATACTATATATATCTCCTTATTTCATATCAATGTGAAATTAATAGTACAAGATAGAAATATAAAATTGAGAATGGAAATTAGGGGTTTGTGCCAAAGAGACAACAACCCGACCAAAGAGCTGAAAACAGCCCAAGGCCACCATTGGGTCTTCAACACAGCGAGAAAATACTGCACCTGGAGGCAGGTATCAGCTGGCCCCTAAACAAAAATGTAAACTAGTTCAGTGAAAATGGACGTCACACTAAACTCCAAAACATATAAATGAACCAAAATAGACTTGTATATTATGCATTCAAAACATGAACTTATAAATGGATTTCTATAACGAACCTGATTTGGAATTTATCTGTATCTTAATATGAACATTCAAGGAAAGGAGCTTAATGCATCAAGAAATGGAATTTAATTAACTTAAACTAGAGGATCTTAAGAGGCTGTGTCACTCACCTGAATCTATGTGCATCTTCAAAAATGGGCACTCTTTAACATTACAGACTCAAATATTATTCATTTTTTAGATTCTTTCTATTAATCAGTTTTCAAGATAATAGGC